GTTGCAGGAAGAAGAAAGTGGAGAACTTCCTTTAGCATACCCATGCCAGTTGCTCAAAAAAGCTGAGTGAAACTACAGCACAACCGAGAAGGAGCACCTAGCAATCATGTGGGCAATAAGACATTTTAGGGCGTACTTGTATAGTAGAAAGTGTAACCACTCTGCCGTGATCAAGAGATATAGCTATCAAGGGCAATCACATGGCACTGGTGAATGACGGCTATATCCGCAAAAGAATTTCGTGGATTTTTGGGGATATCTCCAAAAACTAGCCATAAACTACCGCGAAAAAATTCACATAAAATAAGAATTATGTGACAATAAAAAATGATTTTTCTTTACTTGACATAACTGTTTAAAAAACGATAACGAGTAAAACTTGTAGAAAAATGCTTTAAAAATTTCCCAGGTTTATCCTCCACTACATCATGATAGCTCCATAGCTGAATAACCCACTGTACAATGGTTAAGATGATAACAGACACTAGACCTTTTAGATGACAAATAAAGGTGAAAGATGACAGTTTAAGATTAAGTAGATAGAATTTGGAATTGCAGAATATGAGTTTGAGATCATTAACCATCCTGGAAAGGCCCACACCAACGCAGACACGTTGAGTCCAGTACCAATGGCATCCATTAACAATATACATTCCATATACAGCAAGGCACAGATCTAAAAGCAGCAATATAGGGATCCTTCTTGCATAGAGATTAGATGGCGCTTAACAAAGTTTTTGACATCATAAGAACAGAGTCCGAGTCCCGAGAGTAGAGAATTCTACTTAGATGCAGAGCAGACATTATGCCGAAAAAATCAAACCCCGAAAAAATGAAATATGGGATAGATAGGTTTATCCCCAAAACATGGTTGAATATGCCTTGAAGCTATTTCATGAGATCCCTAGTTCGGCATACCTAGAGATGAAAAAATTCAGGAAACAGTTGCAGACGCAATTCTACTGAACAGACGTGAAAAAGGGCGTAGCAACACTATTGTCAGTAATGTCAGGAGTGTAGTATGTGAAAGGAAGCAAGACCATCATGTTTCCTTATAGATTTTTCACAGGATTACTCAGATGTTTAAGAAAACAGCCCTTAATATTCAATGCCTCTTTCCCACTACCTATAATAGCGATAAGTATCTGTTGGTTTTTGTAGATCATTTTTTGCTTTGGGCAGAGGCGGTGCTTTTGCTTGACATTATCGCAGAAACAGTTTCCAAGGCACTTGTTATGCAGGTAACCTTGAAACACTAGGTTCCAATACAGTTACTGATCAATCGAAGAGCAAATTTCACTTCGAAGATGATTCAAGAGGTTTGCGATGTTTTTCATATAGAGACTTCTCAGAACTGCTTACCTCCCACAGTGCAATGGGATGGATGAACGACTAAATAAAACATTGGCAGATATTTTGATGCATTATGCAGATGTAGACCAACGCAACTGGGATAAGATGCTCCTTTTGCTCTCTTCACATACAACAGTGCAGTACATTCCAGTACAAATGAGAAATCATATTACCTAGTGTATGGGAGAGATCCGGTTTATTGATTTGTTGGGGTCACTGAATCTAGGAGACGTAGTTACTACACTAGTGAAAAACTACACGAATGAACTAAGGTCAAGGTTAACTTTAGCCCATAGACTAGCCCAAGAACAGGCAGTAAAAGCAGCACAGGACAGACAAGTGTACCATCAGCGCAAAAATAAACTCCATAAATTTTTGTAGGCGACTGAATCTTCGTAACGAAGGTAAAAGTCTTATCAGGGTTGAAAAGGAAATTAGTACCTAGATGGCAGGGCCATATAGGTTTATAGCAAAGACTAGCCCTGTCAACTATGTCATCCAACATTTCAATACGTGAAAGTGGTTACACACTCAGGCAAATCGACAGAAACCGCGTGAATGGAGTTTGAATCTTTTGCCGCAAATGCGCATAGTCCAGAGGCAGGGAAATCTGAAACCTCGGCCTCAAAACAACAAACTCCCTCAGTAATAGAACCTGGGATTAACTCATATTGGATCTGCCGTAAACAGTTCAGACAGTACCATCGAAAACGATAGAGGTTGGTCAACAAGCGACCTCTATGCACTCGGTACATAGATATACTCTAAGAAGTCAGTGTCTGGTAGAGGAAAATCCGTAGGTGCTTCCCAAAACGAGTAGATATGAGCAGACAATAGAGGTTCTCAACTGAAACGCGAACGAGGGAAAAGCATCATGTCCCAACATCAGTCAGGGTTGAGAACATTTGCTACCTCCTATGCCAATCAGTCTGTTTATGCAGTGCAAATGGTGAGCTCTCCTTACAGAAGAGGTCACCATACAAACAAGAAGAATTTGTAAGACAATTCCCTTCACTCGGGGGAAGAGAATTGTCGTGAAACGGACTAATATCTGTGTAAAATTTTCGTTGTAGATCATGAATGCTTAGCCATAGAAACGCGTTTTTCATATTCAAAACTGTCCTGAAGGAAAACAAAAAAAAATTGTTAGGAAAAATAACATCAACACGAATGGAACAAGGATGAATTTGTCAAAGGTTGAGTAGTTTATATAATCAAATTTAAAAAATTAAGAAAATTTTTTTCTGAAATGCCCGTGCATGATAATCACATCTGTCAAAGTTAAAATGAGGCACAGAAAACAATGATGGGAGATGATGAATAACAATCACAGGAAAACTGAAATAGTTCCTTGTCTTTCTCTGTCAACAATTTTTGTGAAGTAAATCTTAGCGTTCCTTATCTATAAGTACCAAATCCGAGTTAATTACTTTTGAGTCCTTTGTCTTCCTTTTTTTCTAATCTTTTATTCCAGATTTTACCTATAACACCACTCACTCTCGTGATTCGATTCAAATCTTGTGTCACAATATGCAAACCTAAACCCCCAGAATTCTCATTGAAGTCAATTCTAGGTCAGACAGACAACAGAAAAATTGTGGAGAAAAGACGGCACGTGAAGCCTACTCTGTACATGGAAATAATTCGAGATGGAAGAATTAGAAGGATTAACCGTTTCAACTCGTAAAGCTTATTCGATTATATCTGAAACTTCTTATTATGCTGAAATAAAATTCACACAAATAATGAAACGTTTCTTCATTAAACTTGTATTAATATGAATAAACTCACATTCATCATAAAAATAGCGTACCATTTGATTAGCCAGTAATCGCTGCCATTTGTAATGGATTGTGCTACAACTAGCATTAGTAATAACAATATCCTGAAGAGAAAACTTGATCCAGCATTCAAATATTCTTTATAGACTGAAATTCCTATTGTTCCAACTTCTACATCGTCAGGTGGTATTTTTTTATTTTCATTTTCCTACAAAATGTATTTTGTAAATTATATAAAATATTCATTGAATTAGACTTAAATATATTAGAAAGTATTTCAATATAAATTTTCGAAAAAAGTACAAGGATATTTTTTCTTCATAAAACTGAAAATTGGATTTGTACACAAAAAAAAACCTACTCAGTATTCTCTTCAATATTTGTAGTTATATAATAATAATATAAAAAAAAATAAAACCGAAAAACAATAAAAAATATTTATCATTATACAGTATAAT